GGGTCAACATCTGCTCGTCTAAACATTTGGAAAGCGGATATACCTCCAATCCGAAACGTAGCAACCGTAGCTGGCTGGTCAGTTGATATAAATTGGACTGTCGAGGAAGCTTGGGTGAGATTTAGGAATACACTAGATTGTTTCACTGCACCTTTTAATACCTTGGTCTACCCCTCGAAAACTATCGCATAAATCACCTTGGATTAGTAATGAAATAAGGAGGTTGTTAGTACAATGAAAGAACTTATGGGACCGGTTCACTGTGACAGAGAGGGAGGAGTTTCGGATGGAATACCGCAAAATTCGAAGTCTTTGTAAGTATGCAATTGACAAAAGTTGTATAGAGTATGAAAGACAGTTAGTACTGGATTGTGTACATCATCCTAAAAGAATACTCGTTTATCAAACGTTGGACTAAAACTAGCAGTGGTACACTGTCACTTATAAGCAACACTGTGTAGGTGGCCGAGTCAGACGAAACGAAAGCTGAAAAGCTTGAAATACTTTTGCGATGTCTTTTCATCTAATCGTACCACTCGGGGGTATAGTGAGGTCACTACCGTTGCCATTAAAATGCCCCAATTGTGGTAGAGGACTCAGTGGTTTTCACACCACTGTCTAAACTAAAGCCAGGTAAATCACCTGGATCCAATGGACTTCACCCTAGACTGCTAATCTCCTTGGCAGGTATAACATACATTCCACTTACGGAGATTTCAAATGTCTCTGAACCAGGATAGGCTACCGAAGGACTGGAAAGATGCAATTATAAGCCCCATCTTCAAAAAGGGGAACATACAGTTAGTATCTAACTACAGACCTGTAAGTCTGAACTGCAATACAACAAAGGTATTAGAAACAATCATAAGGGATCATCTCTTAGTTCATATGGAGAAACATGGCTTACTGGCAATAGGACAGCATGGGTTCCGACTAGAATGATCATGTCTGACCAAACTACTGTCAGCTAGGGAAGATTGGATCGAAGCCAAGGGTGAGAACCATCTATTGGACGTTGTCTTTATCGATCTTAGTAAAGTATTCGATAAGGTATCCTATTTAGATCTCCTTAGTAAACTCAAAGGTTTTGGATCAGACCAACGCTTATGTGAGTGGTTTAGCGACTACCTGATGGATAGAAGACGGAAGGTAAGAGTTACTGGTGTACTCTCAGGGTGAAAAGTAGTAAGTGCTAAGTGGAGTACCTCAGGGGACTGTACTTGGTCCCCTGCTATTCCTATTGTACGTAAATGAACTGCCGAAAATTCGTACCTCTTCTACTTTATTATATTCGGACGATATTAAGATATGGAAAACTGTAAATAATAGTGATGATAGGTTGGTGCTACAAAACTACCTAGATACATTAGCTGAATGGGCTAACCTCTGGAGTCTGGAAATTAATTCCGAGAAAAGCGCGGTAATGCACCTAGGTCAGTGGTCATACGTATCGTACTCCCTGGGTGATACAGAACTACCAGATGTTAAGGGACAAAAGGACTTAGGAATTAGTGTAAGCCATAACTTAAAAACAACGGCAAATTGTAATGGAGCCACAGCTAAGGCTTTTCGAATGCTATGGGCACCTCGAAGGGCTTTCGAACAATTAGTCGAGGGTACGTTCCAAGTACTGTATGCAACATATCAGACCTCACCTAGAATATTGAACACAAGCGGTGAGTCCATGCTTCAAAAAGGAGTCATATGTCCTGGAGAGAGCACAGAGGATAAGAACGAAATTAGTTAGTGGTATCTCACACCTTCCTTATGATAAGAGGGTGGAGCAGTTAAATCTCTTTCCATTATCATACCGAAGGAAGAGAGGCGACTTAATTTTGGCATACCGTATATCAAAGGGTGATTTAGGGATTGACCTTTCAAACCTTTTCTCTCCCTCTAGGATAGAAATACGAGGTCAACACAAGAAGTTGCTGAAACCGAGGTTGAATAAAATACGCGTGGAATTTAGATTCTCTCACAGAGTGGTCAACGAATGGAACTCCTTACCTGATTCAGTAGTAACAGTTCCATCGGTGGACGCTTCTAAAAAGTAATTAGATCTCTGCAGAGATATATATCTCAACGATTAATATAGATGACAAGAAGAGACTTCTATCCTTATAATCTGAATGTGAATTGTTCAGTGGGCGGACAAATTATTTTGTGTTAATAACATTGCGGAAATATTATGTGCACTTAGTGTAACCTCTTCCAGAGCTTCTTGTGTAGATAGGTTTCCTCGAGCAGCACTATTTCTCACATCAACCAGAGCTGAAGTTCACCCCATGTGACATATGCATATGACTCAGAATCCAGTCTCTTGTTCAAAAACGTTTATAGGCTAAATAGGTTTTTGTTTGTTTTAGATTAGCACACAAAAGTCACTAGAAGTCATCGAAATAATCCTTCGATATCGTTGCAGTGCACCTTTTGAAATGTATGCCGCAGTTCACCGGCTGAAATAGCACTCACCGACTACACTCCCTGTTAAAAACATACTTCATTTACTTGAAGGCAGTTGGGCATGCTTGTTCTTATGGTGTGTGTGTGGAGATGAAATGCATTCTGTATAACCCTTGTATTTGAGATTGCAAGGTTGGTGTCGTCATCCTCAACAATGTGACTAAAACTCTGGAAAGTTCCATGAGAGATAAGGAGTCACCCTGAGAAATAATGGTATTTACAAACTTATAGTTATCAAACTCGGGGTAAAATTTCTCTTAATTGCAAATACAACTGTCAACATTAAAATCATACAATTGCCGATTGGACATCACAACAGAGTGGGAAAATCATGGCTAATTTATTATCCGTAGGTTCATACAGTCAAGGTGCTACACTGTCGAACGTACAACAGAAACACCTAGGTAGCACTTTTCCTATTAAAGACTTTCATTGCGATGGAAAAGTTTCAGGGACGTGATTGACAAACTACTGAGTGGACCCACGGATTCCGAAATTTAGAGAAATCAACGTACTGCTTATCTTCATATTCAGTGCTATAGTTTTAATACTGACTAATGATAAGATTCAGTGTAACAAGCTGACGTTTGGACAGTAGCTGAGCACCGTTATTCCAAAACTCAAGCATCTATCACAACCTAAGAGAAATCCTGACAATAGTGTGGGTACTGTTGTTATGAGAGTTAAAGCCACTGAACAACAGGATATTTATGTTAAAGTATGGAGTAATTTGGTTAATACCTTCATACTTCTGTATATATTTGACTAGACCTAAATATATCTGAAGTGTTGTACATTCGATTTCCTTCCAGGGACCAACACTTTCCCAGCAGCAACTTCATACAGTTAGTTCCTCCGACAAATTTAAATAATGCAATAAGAACAACTTTCACTGGACAAGGTGAATTCGTTTTATTTCATAGGATTTTTGTTAGCTGCATACAGAGTGAATAATAAAATGTAAAAGATGGAATTTTGTCCCTGATTATTTGTAGGCCGTCATTAATAGCTGTCAGCACCCCTTACTATTCATTCGTTTTCCTCGATGAGTTGAGAACACCATGACGGATACGGATACTAACATTTTAACCATTTCAGAGTGCGTTATATTCATGAGTTTCTAACGGAAATGGCTTGATCATATCAAGCTGTAAGTCTTCCAAACAAATTCTCCCACGATGTGATAGTATTCTACCATGACGGATACTACTTCACCGCAATGGATGGTTTCCGTTAGAAAACCGGACTGTCAGCTAGCAAACACTTGTCAAAACCTACCTAGGATGTAAACAGTTATGAATTGTATTAAGCAAACTATTGAAAAAATTAACTAGCTTCTAGCCAGCACTTTGTAACCAATTGTCTAAATCCCTACGTCACAGCTGTACTAACATTCTGGTGCATTGGTGTAGTGTAAGACTTGATGCTACTTTTCATGTGTACTGTTGTTAGCCTTTTAGAAGTTGTACTGGCAGATGCATCACTTGTGGAAAGAATATTGTGTTAATTTCCATCTGACTACATCTCATTGAGAATCGTTATTTTTCAGCATATTACTATTTACTGTTTTGCTACTTTCTACTAATGACTACCCGACTAGGAGGACATATTTAGAAATAGCTCCTTATCAACTAACTGACTGTGTGAGTATTTTCCTATAGTTACTAGAATATCGTCAAAACGTCCAAACCTGAGTGAGTATAGTAGTTTGAAATTTGTGACTACATCTGAAGTGCTTACACTTCTAACACACTTCTAACAAATTGGTCAGATCACTCAACTACTATATTTTTGTGTACCACTCTTGAGTGGTTACAAGTCGAGTTTTGTCATTACTTATTTTTAATATCTCATAAGCTAAGGTAACCTACACCTGTGCATACGTCGCATCTGTATTGGTGATCTCGTCGTCGTGGATTAAGAGGTAGGTAACTGTTATACCACTGGTTCTTTTCACTGATAACTAGGCGTGTTGTCGATGCCACAGGTGGAGTAAGGTGGCAAGTGAGTGATTAATGCGACCGATCCCATATCCCATGAAAGGTTGACGCTGAGAATACCCAGACTTTTGCATGCTTAGTGACCATATGAGTTGCGGTTTTCATTTTCTCGATACAAGTGGTTGCTTACAAAACTAGTCTGTATATCGGTACTTCAGTCACTAGTAAAAGTAGGGAAGCAATTCAATTCGTTGAGCGCTTTTCACACCTTAAAACATGCTGAAGATGTAACGCGTTGGTAAAGGAATCCTGAAGCCCGGTTCCTCAAGCTATACAATTTATAGTAACAATGGGATATCCAAACACCTACTTAAAATCGAGTGTAGTACTCTGCAGAATGTTTAAACCTATTGTGTAAGGTCATGATCTAAATTGCGTCAGCCTAGTGGGTGGGCACCGTATTAACCCTCCCCTGTCCCCCACCCCGAGAGAAATTGAGGCCTATATTAAAGTCTTGTAGTTAGTTTACCTTTCATCACTGACACAGTCATTTTTATTATTATTCATTGATTTTTACCAGGTTTCCAATAATCCGCTATGTATAGATTTTCTCAACTTGTTGACTCATCTGAGCTTCGTGAACAATTTGTTGATTTGACATTGAAGTCTGAATCACAAACAGTGGAAGATGATAAATGTTCGCGTTCGGCTACTACAAAATCTAAGAAAGGAAAACATCGCAATACTTCAAAGGATCTAAGAGAATCTGGCAAATCATGTAATTCTGGCAGTGTTTTGAAAGGTATGTTGTTGTACTAGGTTTTCTTCAGTTACACATTTTTATAAAATGGCATTTCAGCCGTTTAATGTTCATATGTCAGTTGAGTAAAAATCATAAACCCTTAATGTTGTCAAAACTTAGGAGTAGTAGCTGGTTTTAACCAGCTGCTATGTAGTGATGTGTAGACTGCCAGACTAGTTGGTGTCTTCGAGATGCTAAGAACAAATGGCTGGAGACTATTGATGATATTTATTGCTCAAAATTGTTGTCAATGGCACAGATGAATTTCCTCTTTGTAATTTCCTCAATCCATTAAATCCTCATTTATTGTCCACCCATGTGATTATTCTTTGTCGTGTACATCCCTGTTCATTATTATTATTTTTATTATTGTTCCCTTGGGTTCCAAGTGGTGCATGGTGCTTCAACAGCACATCTCCACTTTGTCCTATTCTCTGCTGTCCTCTTCAGCCAACCTCTTGATTCCCCATAGTCTCTCATCTCGTTCTCCCCAAGTGACCTCCATGTCACAGAGTCTCAGACCCACGCCCAACTCATCGTTTCCCATTTTTGCTCTACTCAAGTGATGGATTGGCGCTCCATGTCATTCGACGGTCTCCTCAGTAGCATGTGTCCAATTATTCTCTATCTCGATGGGCATATTTGTTGAGGAATAGGTTCTCGACTGGTTAGTTTCCGGAGTTTCTTGTTGGTGATTCTGTCTGGCCAGCTAGTCATTTGATGTTCAGTGTGGAGCCAGTGAAGGCAGCTGTTGATAAAAGTCTGCAACAGTCTGTTTGGAATGCTTTTGGTGACAAACGCGCTGAAGACACACTTGATGAAGAAGAAAGAAAGTTGACACAAACTCTGGTTGATAACAATTATCCAGACAAGTTCATTAGGAGATATAAGGTAGTCAGATCACCAAGACCCACTCTCTAACTCGTCCCTAAGAAAGACGTGTACATCAAGCTACCCTATATTGACCATTAAAGCAGCTTGATAACTAGACAAAGACTGAACGCTGCTGTCTAAAAGACATTTTATCCAGCCAATATCATAATAATAGAGAATGTACAGCCAATGTATCTATCTAAGCCCTTCGAACATGCGAAAAATTACGTCACATCCCAGTGTATTTACCAATTTGAATGTACTTGTGGACACACATACATAAGGAGGACTCATCGATCTCTGCAATTAAGGACTGGCTTCAGAGCATATTCCTAAATGGCTCCAGAAACAAATAGAATCTTCAGAACCTATTAACGGTGAGAACAGGAGACCTAGCTCTTCTACTGCGAAACATATTGTAGAGACAGGACATAAAATTGATGTCTAAACATCTTTTAAACCTACCTATAAAACGAGTTTGGGAGAAGGCGTATCCTGAAGTTTGTGGAAGTCCTAGCTGGCAATTAGAAAGTTTAAGCCACCTTCATGCGTTCAAAAGCAATCCGTAATCACATTAAACCTTCGTTGGTAAATTTTGTTTGCATACCAGAGCAGATGTACTATTACCTCTGCTATTTGGTTTAGTGGTCTTCATTGTTATTTTGACCTTGAATATGTCCTTTTAACTTGACCTACCTTGTCTATTTTCTCACCTCTCACCTCTTTATTAATTTCATATATATGAACTCCTATGACAAGTCCGTGTGTGATCAGACTGTTCGAAATGTGTTGCACAAATACAACATTACACGATTCAGAAGAATTACATCTCCTTATTGCTATATCTAAATTCAAAATGGGAAGTAATTACTCTAGATTATGAAAAACTCAAAAATAACATGAACTTTTAATTTTTCTTTTTACATATTTTCTTTAAATTTTATATTCACCCTATGATAGTATGAGTGACAAATCAATAGGGCAGGAGTTTTCCAGTCACCTTTGTTTGTCTAATTAGCCAATAGGAATTAAAGGTCACTGAATTCTAGAAAAATAGGGCTATTAATATAGCGCACTTGCATGCGACTGTTAGTTGACCTAATGGTGATGTGCAGAGAGAACGTATGCAAGCCGGGCGAATGCAGAACGCATGACTCAACGTTTGTATGGCACGGAACGATACACACGACATTTACAGCAAGATTTCAACGTCATGAAGCCTATGGTGGCTTCGAAAACAATGCAAAAAACGCTAAGTGAGTTCCCTTGGGTTTCTACTAATAAACTTTAATAAGTAGTTTAGAGAATTAGGCTAAAATCTTAGTTTTATGCTATGCTAGAGTATTTTTGACTTATGGTGATAATTTTTCTTAGAAAGTCCAAAGCGCAAGAGTGTTTCATACCAATCGATAGCTCTCATTGAGACCTACTTCTTGGTCGACGTAAGTCATCGCGCACCTGTTGTCCCAGAGAAACGCTCTTCATCAGATTTAGCCGTTTCTCCTCTCCTCAACTTAAAAAGCTTCGAAGACAAAAAGAAAAATTATATAAAATGAAGAATAATGCTGGTTTGGAAAGAATTAACATCCTAATAAAGTCCAAAATGCACAGATTGAATTCAATTTACAACCAAAAGTTTATATCCTGTAAAAATGCGTCTAACATATGGAAACGTTTCAAAGAAATTACTGGTGGTAAGCAGATGAACAGTATTCCTTTTTCCCTTCATGTCTGCATACTAAACAAGTCCTTCATACATTCTCCCACGAATGCCCAACTTTCTAGTGTTACGAGTATTAATGAAACCTGCTTCCCTGGATTTACTACAAATGATTTTCTAAAATGTCTCCAGTCCATGAACCCTTCTTGTAGCTTGGGTCCAGATGGTTTGCCTAGTGTTATTCTTGTAAATTGTGCAGATATCCTGTATTTTTATTTAAACGCAGGAAAACTTGGTACAATATGGCATCAAGAAAGATGCGCCACACAATATTGTGTGAGGGCTGAAATACTGCCCGGGCGCCCAGACCGAAGCAGGTGGTTTTATTAAGGGACCACCCCCCGAGCCTTTGACTTGGAGTCTAATCCGCAAGGCAGCGGAGCAGCGTCAGGAGCTGCATTCCCATGGTTGCCGGTGACCCATATGGGTTCATACGCCATTTGACCCGATTGAATTCTGGAGCCCATGTACCCCATGGTAACTGCTTTTAGTCTAACCGCTATCCAATTAACCTTCCTGACATGGTAGGACGTGCAGGGACATGAGTCCCAGACAGTTTAGCTTGTTGGGTCACCGAGGAATTCAAGCCCGACCACCACAGCAAGGTAGCAGTTATCGGTCGGGCTATCCTGTATTATCCTCTCATGGACATACTTAACGAATCTTTTTCCAAAAATGTCGTGCCAGCCGTTCGGAAGGACATTAAAATTGTACCTATTCCTAAGTCGTCTACTGCGACATGTTTTAAATTCAGACCCATTGCTATTACTTCCCCTTTTCTAAAAGCTATGGAAAAGTTGCTCTTACTTAATCTTCAACCTTCACTTAAAGCCTTTAACGATCCCAAACAATTCGCCTACAAACACAGTAGAAGTACTTCGGACGCAGCTGCAGTCCTGTATCATAACATTGTCTCCAGCTTAGACAAGGGCGCAAAATTTGTTCGCTGCACCTTTCTAGATTATACATCTGCTTTCGACTCAGTACCTAGGGACATTTTACTGAACAAGCTTGCTGAAACTCAAACTAACTGTTGGGTTGTCACATGGCTCCATTTTCATTTCTCAAGAAGAAAGCAATACACTGTATGTCAGGGAAAGTCGTCCACTTCATTGCTTACTGAGGCTGGTGTCCCTCAAGGCGCTGTCCTTTCTCCTTTTCTGTTTTCTTTCTTCTTGCATGACTTGCCTCACTCCGATGTAATGAACTTTGTTGAGTATGCTGATGATCTAACTATTTCAATGTCTGTTAACTCTCAGCTTGACTGTATTAAGATTAACAACTTTCTATCAGGAATTAGCAAATGGTCTTCGTCTAACGGCCTTAAACCCAATCCTTCCAAATGTCAGACTGTTAATTTCAGTTTCTGATGTAAACGAAAGTTAAATAAAGCCGTTGGTTCCTATGACCCTTGCAAAATCGATGATACTGATATAGAAACCAAGTCTGAAGTTAAGTATCTTGGATTGGTTCTCTCTTCTGAATTATCCTGGTCCTCTCATGTCTTAGCGATTTCTAAAAGAATATTTCGTTTGACTTTTTACATTAAGAAGATAAGGCACTCAGGCATAACTCAACCACTCCTCTTACAGTTTGTCAACTCGTGTATTTTACCTATTCTTCTTTACTGTTCACCATTATTCTTTCCTGGATTGCTTAAAAAGGACTATGTCATACTTCGTAGAACTCTGAAGACTGTCAGTAGGACGAGTGGTAGCCCATTGGGCCATATCGTTGGCATTGTCACCGATAGGCATTTGATGTCATGCAACAAATTCACTAGAGGAATTTTGTCATACTCTGAGCACCCACTCTACCAGCAGCTCCAACCTTGTGTCTCCTCAGGTAAAACAAGAAGTCTTTTCAGAACACTTTATGCACGTGCGTCTAAGTATAAAAATTCCACTATACCATATTTGGCACGTACTTTATGTGATGAAAATAGCGTCAGAAATGAACTAACTAACCTTCTTAGCACCACTAAATAAACCATTTCCTTCATCCTTAAAGCATCATACTTTATTGTTATTGTATTTCTTATATTTATAATCCTCTCAATTTTTTCGTTTTGTTTAGTTTTCATAAGTGTGGACATGATTTTAAGCTGTATTATGACTGTTAACCTTGTATTTCACCTCACTATACCATATCAACAGAACATACGACCCAATAATCTATAAAATGCTAAAGTTTCCAAACTGAATCGACAATACCGTTTGAAACGAACTCACTGTTATTAGTATTTATTATTACTATTATATCTAATAATTATGTCGTAAATGTGGACAAATTCCTCCGATCAATTTTGTTTTAATTTTTAATTTTATATACATTTTGAGTAAATCAGATGCAATATTGTGACAAATGCTGAGAATTCCATTCTGTATTATAAGTACTGTTTTTGGAA